TACACCCACACACATATTACAATTTAACCCCCTCACACACATTCATATTGCAATTTAAATCCCCACACACACCCACACAAATTCATATTGCAATTTAAATCCCCACACACACACCCACACACACACATTCATATTGTAATTTAAATCCCCACACACACGCTTGCATATTACAATTTAACCCCCACATACACCCACACACATTCATATTACAATTTAACCCCCTCACACACATTCATATTGCAATTTAAATCCCCACACACACCCACACACATTCATATTGCAATTTAAATCCCCACACACACGCTTGCATATTGGGAATTTAACCCCAAACACATGCTTGTATTTCCAAATACATTTAATTATTATTTACATTACATTACATTATTTACAAAATGTTTTCAACGAAAATATATTAATTAAATAATAAATTGTTGCACAAAAGTACATGGTTTGTGAAAAAAATGGTTCGGTGACAGATCACAAACAATGAATGTCATTGTTGACTTTATGCGCAAATTTGCACCCCTTGTGCAAGTGATAATGGTACATCTAGTATGTCGATATCCTAACAGGGAATAAACGAGTTAAAAATATATCTGTGATTCAAACATTCTCATTTAATGCATAGCAACCAATATACAACATTAGAAAGTTTAGATATATGTGAATATATACATATACAATGTTTGTCTAAAAGATATACCTGCATGATAGCAAATTTGACCATTGTACTTTTGTTACTATCCCTACTACTGAAAACACTGTTTTACACTTTCTTGCTGTATTTTATACTAGCAGTGTATTGTAAAAATATGTATAACTCACAATCCAGAGTCCATCAAAATGTACTTTTTTATACCATTCTGAAATCATCTGGTACCACCATTCACTAGTCCTAGGATTTATAAAGTCTGGAAACACGGTAACATTGGTCCAAACCTTAAACAAAAATAATAAACATGTGCGTCATGTCAACATAATCAAAAAATACAAAAAATAATGTAAATAACATTTCTTTGCATAGAATACATACCTTTCCTTCTATGTATTTTCCATTCAGTTTAAGATGTCCATTTTTTTACCAAGATCGAATGTACCAGGGGCACTGTCAGCGGCAATACCAGGATCCTTTCAATCAAAACAAACAAAACAATAAGCTCTGAACTTTAGTATTACCATGTCAAGATCAAAAGCTCTTGAATTGTGTAGAAAGTGTATTTGGAATCCCTATTCCAGAGACTGAGCGAATTGAGGGTACACTTCTTAGTTTGTATGCTAATGGATTGGTGAATAATATGTAGAAATTTTTGGTTTGAGTCAAACATGTTTTAGTTCAGTCTAAATTATGTAACCAGCTCCCAAAAGTTGATTTGAATATATGATGCATTGTCCAATCAAAATTACAATGACATAATAATCTACTGGAATCCCAAATTATTTTGATAAATCAAAACTATTCGTATGACCATTTAGTGTAGAGCCTGATCAGTATATGAATTACATTTCCTATGACATTTTACACTTATACACATGCATGGGTTAAAAAATACTGAATCCCCAACTTACCACGATATGTATATAGTGTTGGCCATTGTTATGAAGTTCATCAATGAATTTTAGTAAATCCCCAAATACTTTCTTATTTAAAGTGCAATCTTTGTAGGCTACAGCGTAGTCAATGTCATTCCACTGTACATCCTAGTTCAGAGAAGTAAATTTAAATATTCATGAGAATTATCTTTAAACATAAACAATTAATAAACATTTTTAAGTTTGATGAGAAGTACAAAAATTATTAGAAAAATTATGACACAAGCCATCTACTGATAAAAAGTCTAACATAACAATACCTGTGGTATTTTGGCATTTCTCATTCTGTCAGTGACTTTTCTTGTACCATCAACAGTTTCATATCCCCATCTACACAGGTGGAATCCCAAACCCCAATACGGTGGCATAAATGTTCTTCCAATCACTTCAGTGTATTGCTGTATCACTTGGTCAAGGCTGGGTCCATAATCTAAAACACCACCAATAGTCCTCCATGTGGATCTGAAAACAGTAAACAAAGGAATAATTTGATATGGCTAGGGTAACATTAGATCTCGTTAGTTAATAAGTTAATACATAAATAAATGAAGAGCCATAAGAGGTGGAAACCAATTTATTGTAGCATTTAGTTAGAACTTGCTGACATGCAGTCACGAAGCAAAAAAAATTTTACGA